TTTTATCGATTCACGTTGAAAGAGCTACGCTTGAGACCGGTCAAGATTCTTAATGTGATCGTATCGATTCAATCCTTACAAAAGTCCCCTTCCCCAGCTCGTCACGCACCTCAGTCTCAGTCCTCAGATAAGACTGAAGACAGTCTTATCTAAAAGAGGTCAAAGACGACCTCTTTTAGGCTACATTCTCGGACTGCGATAATTGAGAATTCATTATCATTATTTCCTGCTGCAGAAATGGACCGCAGTCCAAGCATGAAGCCTCGTAAGAAGAGCAGAAAGAGTACAAATTTCGAACGGAGGAATAAGTAAGATGTTGCAGTTGGTAAATCCTCGTATAAGGAATTAGATGTTAAGAAACTGCGAAGAACAAACTCCAAGTTTACTCTAAAGCTAATACAGTGAAAACTCGTTAACTCGAACTTTTAGGGACCGTTTTACAGCAAGTTGCAGGAAAATGAAGACAGTCAAGCATGGGAACGTGGAGTTCACACGGTGCCAATCGACTTGTTCGAGGCAGTATGGAAATTGGAGGACTTTCACTTCGGAAGGAAAGCATTCCGGCCCCGTAAAAATGCTTAATTCGGCACAGCCGTTTTTGGAACTTCGACCACGTCCTGTACTCCCGACAATATTTCCTCATGGTGCAATCGAAGCATCGGAATGAAGCGGCGTGATTTGACAAGCGACGAAACGATCGATACATGAACGTCACCCGACCGAGTGACAGAACGGCGATGTCCGCTGCGACGCACCTCTTGTAGTAAGCAAATGATAAGTGCGTTCGTAGGATTGATTCGTGACCTGTTTCTTTTCATGCTCACGAATCGCTTCGCCTGACATTCACATGCGACCCTGAAAGATGCGATCGCAATGAACACAAGTTCGTCTCGCATCCGCTTCGATCCGACGTTGCGCATTCGACACGGATCGTTCTGAAACAATCCATGATTTCTAAGAAATGCATATTTATTTTCGCATTGCCAATTGATGGCCCATAGGCAATAGAAATATTGCCTTCTGAAGAATGAATAGGTCCCCTGCTGAAGAATATGTTCCGGATTCGAATGACCGGCGACTCACGAGTAGCATTCGGAGTAGTTCATCTGGGCATAATGTGACATGCAAAATAAGTGGCATGATGGAGCGAAACTAGAGCAGACATAATGTGATGCGACAGAACGATTGTTAATCCGTTTGTCCGTAGGGTTCTCTTCACCATGGCCATTGATCATTATTTGTAGCCGTATGGGACAATGGATTCGGAGGATGATATCTACCCGATCCGTTGTCCCACTGTCATCCTTTCTACGACCCTCGGAAGTCGAACAGAACCAGGCATCGACTCTACCTCCTCCTCGTAACCTACAAAGACGCGCGATGAACCTTCCGTTTCACCCAGGCATCCTCCACGAGCGAGTGGAGTCGCGAGGCTGGGCGGGACTCTCCCGAGTGCCGAGATGTTTCGCTATCGTTTCCAGAGAATGTGATGAAATCATCGTCGCCCGTTCATCCGTTTCGACGCGTGTCGATCGGTTCTCAGAAATCCTGATGTGGGGCAGAATGTAAGGGAACCTGTATGGTTATGAAGGGACATTTTCAGTAGGTAGCCTTAGTCGGGTGCAGTTTCTTTGGGTTCTTATGAGCCTCTACCAATCCCTCAACTGCGTTCAACCTTTTTTTTTGTTAGAAACTGAATTCTCGACTTACAATTAGGCCTGTAAAGGTGAATCCGTGGTCTTCGAGACATCTCGTTGAGGACGTGTAACGTTTGGCCAGTCGCAGGCCTATTCATACTTTCTCGATTCCTTTCAGAGGACGTGTAACGTTAGGCCAGTCGCAGGCCTATTCATACTTTCTCGATTCCTTTCAGAGGACGTGTAACGTTAGGCCTATCTGGAGTTCCTCGAACCATCTCGAATAGGTCTGAGGAAGGAATGCCTCCAGGAAGCATGAAATTCATGGTGCGCGCCATCCTGTTAATTCAGGGATGTTCGGATAAGATATCTCCATATCGCACCACATCGAGCAATCACAGCTAACCATCGCTTCATTCTCAGCACAACTCAGGAATTCAGCACAAAAATGTCTCACACATTAAAAAACAGAAGATCCAGACGCCAATACGAAGGTTGAAGTAGTCTTGAATCTGGCATAATTTCGGCACGGTAGCCGGCAACACTGGGGTACGTTACCGGAGCAAGCACTCTAAGCCTAAATGATCAACGGCTAATTTTGTTTTATTTTTAATGGCGAAATGGTGCATCGCAAACGACAAAAAGGGCACTTCTTGTCATCTACAAGTCAATGGGCGACATGCACCAGATTCGTTTAAATTTGAAACATGAAACGTGAATACTTTGAAACTGATTCGTTTTCATAACGGGCGTCGATGCGTTTATCTCGATTAAACTGATTCCCATAAGGGACCATTGTGAGATCAGATTAGTTTAGTTTAAACGGATTCTGCGCATGTCGCCCAAAATCTTTCTTATGGTTGGTCTCTTTCCTCCGAAAAACCCCCAGGAGTGGCTACCCAGGGGGGGGGGGGGGGGGAGGAAAAAAATAAAANGGGGGGGGGGGGGGGGGGGGGGGGGGGGGGGGGGGGGGGGGAAGGAAAGAAATGAAATTCACATCTTCCAAATGCGAGATTCAGTGTTCTCGGCAACTCCGGGAAGATGGAGCTTCAAATTTGCTGGAGCGACTCTAATGAGAGGCAGAAGCATGCCAAATTTCATTCCTGTTGATGCTCTCAGCGAGGAATACGAGGAGGTTGAATTTTGTTGCAGGAAGGTGTTGAAGAAAGGTAATAGGCGATGTCGCACCTATTGATAAAATAATGAATACATCGACATCAAACTATTATTTCATTATTTGACCCAATATGACTTATAAACATTAAAATTAATTGTTGTAGAACAACCCTTAGCCGTTGTGGGAGGTAAATGAACTTGTGACTTTGATATTATGTCTCAAGTAATGTTGCACTTAGAAAGTATAAACGTTAACAATATAGCTGAGAAAGTTAGCACGATTGTACAAGGGTGTGATATTTCAAAGGCATTTTTACTTTTTTATAAGTAGAGGGTGGGAATAACCTTCGGAGTTGGTTCGAAGAATAAATAGTGCTCAGGAGTTGATATCACAATTCATCATGGTGGTATAACTTTGAATGTTTCAAATTAACCTTTCTGGTTGCAAAGAACTCAGTACGGTAAGCAGCGGTCCTGTTTCACTAAAGCACCTAGATCGCCCTAATCCATCCCTAACAATGACATAATTAGCGGCACGTTTGAAAGAAGCCGGCAGCTTTGCTGTCTCGCCGCGTACTGGACTCCTTAAAACAGGAACAGGACCTGAAAAAACTGTCACGTCTGTGACATCTGTTCTTGTCAGTTCGGCATCTGTCCACCACGTCCACAGAGTTTACTCATCCCGTCTGTACATATCTCAGAGCAACCTGGAGTAAATAGATGACCCCACATTAAATTTATGAAGTGAAGCTGGAAATGGTGGAGAACATGGTCTGATTTGCTTTTGAGACGAGTGCATGTTCACGCTGAACCGCCTCGACCACAACCATTGGAGCAGGTACGACTCACATTGAATGTCAGAAATCCATATACTCAACAGCCAGAAAAACTGAACGTTTTGGTATAAATACTTCCAATCGCTTGAACAGAACCAGCAGGGAGCCATAGACAGAAAATCATTTTTCTTCACTTTTCCGCTGGTTTTGGCCCAGTTTCATCCAAGAACTCTACTGATTCTGCTCTTTTTCTTTCACTTGCAGATGAGTGATGGCTGACAACTGACGAATTCAAATCCTGCACCGTAATATAGAATAAATAAAAGCTGCTTCATAATGAAGAGCACGACAGTTCATTCAAGGAAGAATGCAAGATAGCCTTCGTTCTGGACCTCCTTAGGATTAGCACACCCCTGGATTTTTCCTCTGGCGTCACTTGGAGCACGTTTAAAGTGCATTCAGGCACGTTGAAGAGAACTTGGAAATAAATTCTTCTTGTTTCATGGGACTTCTCACGAAGTCTTCCGATTATAAATCTTGAGGGATTTTCCTTATAAAAATAAGTCCCATAAAGTCTTTGCACTTGAGTGCGGTACTCAAGCAAATCCAACCTAAAAAACAATTTTTATTTTGAGATTTTGTGTGGCAATGATTCACTTTAATCAAAGTTATCAGCCAATACTCATCTGGAGGTAAAAGAAAAAGAGAGGAGAATCAATGGAGTTCCTGGGAGAAACTAAGCCGAAACCCGTGAAAAAGTGAAGACGAATTTTCTGTCGACGGCTCCATGTATTAATAGGTTCTGTTCGAATTGAGTATGTGACAAAAAAGTCACTTTTTTACTATCACCCAGCAAGATTTCAACTTTGCAGCTGTTGTTAAGCTTCCAGATTTTTAAATGTATGATGACAAACTGTCCAACCAGCAATGATGAGGATTGCTGTCCCTCTGCTCCAACCGTCAACCAAATAGGCAATACCGTTTTTAGGCATCATTTAACAGTCTGCTTCTTTCCCAGTTCCCCTTCATATTCCCAATTATTTCGCCGACATCATGAGACTCTACGAAGGCCTGCCACTAGGATTTGCATGCTTGTTTTCTTACTGCTTATATACTGCTTTGGTGGCCCGAGTGATCGAATTGGGAAAAGAGGGCTTACTCCCGAAGTATGACTTGTAGGTGAGAACGAAGCAAGACGAAAGGACGAAAATAAAGAAGGTGCAAGATACTAAAGAAACGAGCCTGTACTGCAGACGTCGACTGAAAGCACAAAGTGGGATACGAAAAGGGACCACGTGGATGTGCGCGCATTCCTCTGAACGCTCGCTCTCAGCAAACATTCTATTTTCACGAGAGAAATCTAAGTGTCCTGGGGGATGGCCTCAAGCCTCTTCAAGAAGGGCAGTGACTTGCACGCGCTCCGTTAAGCATTGACGATTTCAATGTCAATGAGAGTTTTGGTTCGAATATCTCAGGCTGCGTTTATCTCTCTGACGTTTCCTTGGAGGTAGAGGGCCTGCTTGAGAAGGGCCATGGCTCGCACGTGCTCTTTACAAGGTTTCTTCACGAATTGATGGAGGAGCCGCACGTGCGAGGAGATGACGGGGAATGCTTCTCTCCACTCGTATTCTCCCTTATTCTGCAACAGCCTCTCCGAGATTCCTCGGTACGAATCCACGCTGCTTCGGAATTTCTTTTCCGCTTTGCGGGCGTTGTACTCCTTGCCGCACTTGGGGCATTTCTTGACCTTCTTGCTCAGGTCCACGAGGCATCGAGGACATCTGTGGGAAATCCCCGACGCGACCTGCAAGTTTTCCAGCAATGGCCATTTCTCCTCGCAGGCCCTGCAGGTGCAGCGAAAAAAATATTGTCTCTGCAGAGTTTCTTGCCTCGACTTGAATTCGTTGGAATGGAAAACGTATCCGTAATTGTCCAAAATTTCGTGCCCGGGTTGGATGGGTTGAATCGCGACCACGGCGCAGGACGACCCGTGGCTGATTCGAATCACGTTCGGATCGCAAGAATGGTTGAGAAGACTCACGGTCGGATACACGGCACCGCCGATCTGAACCCTTTCACCTCTCGAAACTTCCTCGTTTCTCACCCACAGTTCGGAAATCTCGTAGGCGTTGCATGAGAGACTCTGGAGCAGACGCAGCAAGAGAGCCCCCACCCGGTTCTGGGCAGACTCCCCGTCCTCGTCCTGGAAGAGCCCGCCGATTTCCAGGCAATTGAGAAGAAACACCGCCGTGACCGTTCGCTTGAACAGATCCCCCGCAGGTCGCTCTTTTTCGTGAGACACCAGTCGCTTCACGACCGAGAGGCTCCGGGGATCGTAGACCCCCGATGGGAAAGGTTCCTTTTCTTCAGCCGGTTCATCCGATGAGAGAATTTGCTGCAGACCGGCGTTTAAGACGACCCTGAATGCAAGAAGGGCCATGCACCCGATCTCTTCATCGACGAGCAGACTCAGCGTCGGACATTCGTATTTATGGTAGGTTCTCCAGGCTTCCTCGCGACACTCCTCGCAGCAGAAGCATACCTACAGGTGAAACGAAACTCATCTACAAATTTCGAATTGAATGTAAGACAAACCTAATTCGGTGAAAAAGGAAGCTGCATTTTGGCTTCTAAGCGCATCATTTAAATTCAGAGAATGAAAGATGAGAGAGAAGAATACTAATAGAAACCCACGGTGGCGCATCGAAAGCAAGGCAGGTATTGGAGTGAAGGTGATTGAAGACAATGAAGGCAATGAGTGGCGAAGAAACGAGGAGAAAGTGCATGGGCATAGGCTTCTTCCATCACCAGCACTTCGCCTGCATTCGGCAAATAAATTCTGTCAGGCAAATCGATTACAGACACCTGCCAGAACACCTGTTATAATGAGCTGCGATGAATGGAATGAATCTCGGCCTCCTTTCCCTCTCGCTCGTGATAATCGAGAGGGTGAATGCCCGACCGTGACGTAAATGCTTATTGCAGAAAACACGAGTCACTCCCGCAGAACTGCAAACTTATGTCGTGGTTTGCAGAAATAATTTTTGCTCACCTGGCTCATGGATTTCGGGCGTCGAGGCAGCAAGATGACAGCGGAGTAATGGGCAGGGCATCATACAAGTGAAGCATAAGCGATTCCAATTTCAAGGTTACGAAAATATTTAGCGCAGAATTTCCCAATTATCACTTGTGCTGCACTTTTAGCCATTGGCAATGTAAATCAGAGGTGCCCAAATTGTTCTGCCATTGGACTGCATAGCCTGTGAGCCATCAGCCCGCAGGCCTCAAAACGGGAAATGTGTATGATAGGCCAATAGCCAACTTTTGCCTGTTGCGAGGGAGGGGGGGGGGGAGGGAATTCCAATATATATATTTTTTTTTCTTCTCTAATTTCGTTGCAGGCAGCACAAAAACACTCCGTGGACCGTACTTTGGGCACCCCTGGTACTAATGAAGCATAGCAAAGGAACACGCTCATTCAGTTGAGTTTCAAACAAGAAAAGGAATGGCCGATTTAAATTTTTCTGGTTCACTATAACTACGGTACTTTTTGGCTTTTGGCTTACCCGTTGTTTCTCTGGGAGGGAACCGAACATGCACTCCTAAAATTTCCAGGCAGCCCTGTCGCTGAAATGTTCAGCATTCCTCCGAGTTCGGAATTTCAGGCGAAAGCAAAGCATGCCATCTGAAAATCCAGGGAAACTTTCAGGAATGTGAGTAGTCCGTCGGCAGCCTCATGCTTTTAACGCATCTGAAACAGTTTTAAAAGGGGGAGTAACAGCATATCCACAGATTCGGTATGCCAAAAAGAGAGACAATTTATTACGGTCCAGCAAAAGCCACGTATGAAAAAGTTCTGAGAGGGAAGCCCTGTGCGAAATCGTCTAAACTGTCCAGAAAAAGGAAAAGTTTCAGGTTTGAGAGAGGCCTTACACATCACTTCCCACTCTGTAAAGCTTTAAAAGTACTTATTCCACATGATTTGACATGATAATGTGCAATTAAGTTGCTTTTTTCTTGCCTCTACCCTGGGAAGAGAGAAAATGAGATTTAAGCAAGGAGGAAAAATGCAAAGTTAAATTTGACAGGAGCTCATGGCGATGTAAAAATTCCAAGAGTTGAGCCACTTGGATTCGTCGAATAAAGAAAATCAATTGGTTAATAAACTGTACAATGCATGTCAGCTCTTCCACTCTCTCAATTTATCAGCCCGTAACTAATAGCCCATACTGGTATGGGCTATTAGTTACTGCTTTTCCTCTAACTTCTCTTCCAATACACAATCCTTTTGTGGCAGACCGAGACAAAGTGGTCTCACTCCTGTGGCACACTGCATGCGTACGAGGGGCTATCGAAAAAAGTTCTCGAATTCATTCTTAGAAGTGCAGGGGCGAAATTTATTGCTTTTCGATTTTCTTTTCACTTCAGATATTTTTGTTCTCCACCAAATTGTAAATAAGCTGTATGATAAAATTCCGCATGAAAGTAGGCAAATCCGAGTCACTTTTGAAAGAACCCGATGGTATCGAAGCGGCAGGAACCGTTGAAACAAGACCACCACGTGGGATGTCCCAAGGTCAGTTTGACACACTTCAGAAGAGGGGCATCGCAAAAATGGCTTGAATGCTGCCATAGGAGATGCCGAGGCCCTGTGAGAGCTCACAAATTGCCACTCACCGCCCATCCTGAAGGACTTATTGCGCTCGTCCGACGTCCCTCCACTCAACCAATATTGATCCATCCCGGATGGGGGTCTGGCGTCGCTCGAACACCTCATGGCGCTGTTGCCCGATCTCGCGCGAAATTTGCCCTAATTCACTGATTTGGTTCCATCGAGTTCTTCGCTATCGGTACTTCGGTACCTCGGTACTTCGAAATATTGTAACTTGTCTGAATTCGAGACGGTATACGACACTCGCGGTTAGACTTATGAGTTCAACTCTTGTCAACAACATCCGGTCGCATAGTCTGCTAAGCGAGGAATGCGATTAGGGAATCGCTTGGCACAAGCGGCTTGGAACTTGGAATGCTCCAACGTATACCTGCTCGAACTAAGACAAATTATGCTATATAGAGCAGTCGAATCGAAACAGGACAGACCTCAAACTCATATTAATATCATATTTACAGGATGGACCATAAATATTCATACCACATGTAACTTTCCCCCCCCCCCCCTTTTGTATACCCAAGAAAGCAAAAGAAAAAAAAAACTCCATACCTTCATCCAGCGTCTCTTTGGTGGCCAATCTTAGGCGTTTCAATTAGACTCGTTCTCCGATTAACATGGCCTGACGTTCAATAACTTGTTTAGCAGACCATGCTGGAGAAATCAACGAACACGAACGGTCCTCTTACAAATCTGACTGTGATCCGAATGTGTGTGTATGTGGAGTCTGCTGAAGTCCAAAAAACGGGAAAACAGAGACCTGAATAAATTGAGACTGGTGCTGAAACTATCAGATAACCACAAAAGTTTTTGCCGTTTTTAATATTCGTTAAAATAAGATCAAAATTCGTATTAAAAACCAATTTTATTCAGCGAAATAGTTTCCATTTGATTCAATCACCTTTTCCCATCTTGAAACAAGCTTATAAATGCCATTCTTATAGAAGTCCATGTTTTTGGAAGAGAAGAAAGCCTTTATAGCATCCTGCACCTCCCTGTCTTTTTTAAACTCCTGTCCACGCAGATGATTGTCAAGGGCCAGGAACAAGTGATAATCAGAGGGAGAGATGTCAGGCGAATATGGTGGATGACACAAAGTCTCCCATGCAAGACGCTTGATTGTGTCTCTGATAACTTTAGCAGTATGTGGACGGGCGTTATCTTGAAGGAACAGTACTCCTTTTCGATTAACAAGTGCTGGTTCTTTCTCTTGCAATGCCTGATGAACGCGTTCAAGCTGCTGTGAATAGAGTTCACCAGTGATGGTTTGGCCAGGCTGCAGCAGCGCAAAATGGACAATTCCACGAGCTGTCAACCATACACAAAGGAGCACCTTTCGTTGATGAAGTGGTGGCCTTGAAGTTTGTGGAGCAGGATCAGTGGTGGACAGCCAATGTCGTTTCCTTGTAGGATTCTTATATTGGACCCACTTTTCATCACATGTCAACAACCGATCAAGAAATGGCTCTTTATTGTGGCGGGAGAGCAAGGCAAAGCAAACTGACACAGGTTGTCGTTTATTGGCATCAGACAATTCGTGTGGGACCCATTTGCCCAACTTGTATGTCTTGCCAAGTTTGTGCAGATGCCTTCTGATGGTTTCATCATTAACATTGAACATCAAAGCAAGTTCTTAGCATATTCGACTGCTATCCTCTTCAATTGCATATCTCAAGGCTTCATTGTCGATGGTCACAGGACGGCCGCTACGTTGTGCATCTTCAAGCGATTCATCCCCGATTCTGAATTTTTGGAACCAATTTATTGCTGTGCGTTCCTTTACAGCATCCTCTCCAAATGCTAAGCATATTCTTCTTGTGGCTTCTGTAGCAGTGTTACCAAGTTTAAACTCATAGAGTAAACAACATCTGATGAGCTTCGACGACGAATCAATTTAAATATTTTCTTGGCTTTACTAAATTAGATGATATTAACACGCAAATAAGATTTAACAAATGTTTAAGCTATGGGTTGTTTTAAGAAGGCAGTTACGCCTACTACCATTAGTATCTTTCAACTTAATAATGGTAATATAATATGACACATAAACAGCAAAAACGTTTGTGGTTACCTGATACATTAAATGCTAAATGTACAAATGGGTATTTGTCCTATGACCTGGACAAACCACAACTCAACATATTGTGAACACTAAGCAATGTTAAAGATGAGGTTTTACTATTTTTCATTTTACTTCTACTTGTTTCAAACTCTGATGTCATCCTGTGGGTTTCCAACAGTGTTCTATGATCCCTATACATACCCTATGATCCCTATCCCTATGTATAGCTTAGGGTGACATTCCCTTAAAATATTGAGATTCTTTGCAGCACCCTGAGAAATGCTTTTCTTTCTCAATAGTTTCATGGTTTAGGAAAATGAAATGATGAAAATGAGTGAAGATCTATCATGCCTAAGCTTGGGCATCACTATGGACAGGACTTTTATCAGATGGAACTTCTCAAAATGATTGCATGCTTGATTTGCTCCCTCCCTCAAGATCAGAGGTACATTAAAAGAGTTCATCAACATCATATCTTGAAATGCATCCTCTCAGCCTGGGGGCATCATGTTCTACATCATCATCTCTACAATAGTGATCTTTAACACTGTATCTTCACTTGTCATTGTTATACTGGCTAGGATCATTTGATACTTCCTCTTTTACAGCATCCTCTCCAAATGCTAAACATATTCTTCTTGTGGCTTCTGCAGCAGTGTTACCAAGTTTAAACTCATAGAGTAAACAACATCTGATGAGCTTCGACGACGACTCAATTTAAATATTTTATTGGCTTTACTAAATTAGATGATATTAACACGCAAATAAGATTTAACAAATGTTTAAGCTATGGGTTGTTTTAAGAAGGCAGTTACGCCTTCTACCATTAGTATCTTTTAACTTAATAACGGTAATATAATATGACACATAAACGGCAAAAACTTTTGTGGTTACCTGATAGTTTAACCATGTCCGTAATGTAATCGACCAGCAGACCCGAAGATTGCAGGTTGGCGTCAAGAAGAACGGGGATGCGTAAAAAATATTTTCAGTCATTTGGTGAGTCGTTGTGTATCGTTTAATATTCAGTTGATTCTATGAGAAATTATTAGTACAGGAAATACAAGACCTTGATTTGGTGTGAATATTTACGGCCCACCCTGTGGTCATGGAAATTTTAAAGCCGATTTGAAAATTTCAGGAAGTTAAATTTTGCAGCAAAATCGAGTCGGAACACGGCCGAAATAAATGAATATTTCACTCTCCTTCACAATTCAAAGGAATTACCTTAAGAATACCTTTAGTTGAAGTGCTTAGAAGTCATAAGAGGGGAAAAGTGAGAATTTAACTACAAACATTGACTTTTGCAGGCAGGACATGACAGACACTACATTTTCTACGAGCATACTGGACATGTTACATCCAAGCTAAGTACTCCAAGAACTCATGCATATCACATTGGGATCGATTTCTATTCTATGCGAAGTGTGGGGAAGGAGATCATTCCGACTCTCTTCTCTTTTTTTTGCTTCGCCTTTTGCTGAAATTTGTTGAATTTGCACGACTTTCAGCGAAGTACTTACTCACTCCATGCATTCACAACATACAATATAATCCGACGAGGAAGCCAATCTCTATGTTGTAGAAGAGTGAGGGGTTCAATCGCTTTTTAAAAATTAATTACCATTTTGACTTGCATGGCAAGAAGGTTTCACTCAGACCAATCAAATAATAAGAACTTTCCCCGTAAACGAAATTGGATTTGAGTCAATAGAACGAGGCGTAATCACGGATCCGAATGATCCCCCAGGGTTCATCTACCACCTCATCCATTAATCCTTCTCTATTTATTTATGGATTCATTAATCTATCCATTAATTATCTATCAAATATTTACTTATCTACTTATCCATCCATCTATTTATTTTATTCATCCGTCCATTTACTTATCTATCTACCCATCTTCTTATTTAATTTATTTATTACTTATTTATCTATCTATGTATGCACTTATGTATGACTGTTTGACCATGAAGAAACGTATTTATCAGCGAAAGCGAGGAGGCCCTCTGTGCCAGCGACATGGGCACAGGTGCAACCCTTTCCCTTTTTCCAACGAGGAGAGACGAAAGGCTTCGACGATCTGCGATTCCCACAGATGACTCTCGTCTCGCAGGCCTCGAGCATTCTCTTCTGAATGTAGTCCGTGAAATCCCCCGCGTCGATTAATCATTCCCGATGATTCGGGTCACGGCCGACCCCGATCCCGAACGACTGCTTCTTTCGAGTCCAACGCGTACTAGTGCGTCTCCCTCGAATTGCGTTGCGCAATCGAAAATGTACTCGAATGCACTAAAGCCACAGATTTTCGTTCCGTTTCCCACGTGCCAACCTCACCGATCTCTTCTCCATTCATCATTCGAGAGCTCAAAAATGCGTGGTGTCGTTATAACGATCAAAGTTTTTGCCATACCATCAGGGAGTTGGTGTCGGACACCTAAAATGGACCTGAATTCAATTATCCCTTGACAATGACCGAGGTTAATCCAAGCGCAAAATTCCTGAACTGAAGTGACGGACCTTAAAATCAATACAAATAATTTTTTATTACTAAAACACGCTTTTTCTTCTAGGGACGAGTGTTGAAAAATTATATTATTTTCTTCAAGGTACAGGTTCGCTGTTTCGAATCTATGCCGCACAGCCACTGACCGCATCTGATTAACTGATTGTAGACTTCATCGTTATCAAATGGGTAGTTGCAACCGTCGACTTATAAACTTTTTTTGGCATTTTTATGGCGTAGCAGAATATGCAGAACCCCCAAACAGCTTCCGGCTTCGTTAGTCTCTCCGTGAATTCGGGATCTGGGATTTTTCGTGGAGTTACTGCCTCCGTGTTTCATGCGGTTACACATGTTAAAAATAAAATTGAAATTTATTTTAGGCTCTGTCACGTAATGGCCCTCTATAATGGCCCTCTTTCCTCAGATTGATGTGAATGTGGGCGATTTTTCTTCCATAATTCGTTTCAAGTATCTCTCGGCACTTCCTGACTACGAGGTCCCCTCAGACTGATCGTTGGGAACATTTAAATACTCGAAGTGAAGGGAAAACCTCTGAAACCGAAATAGAAGATGAGGGAGAAAATGCAAAGAGGCCTGACCCGGGGAGATGTACGTGTTAGCGATGGCAAGTCTTCCTCGTTCCCGCGTTCTCAGGAAATCCACCTTGTGAGACGCCGATGGGAATTTAGGATTCCTCCCCCCTTGCACATCGTGTAGGGTTTTCTTCTTCCCCATCGAGGACTTCGATTCCGGGTAAAGTTGGACGAGGACTTCCCAGATGGCTTTCTCTTTTGCCTCTGAGGTCAATCCGTCCAAATTCAGTAAGATCCTTCCCCACGCTCGTTCGTGAGGAGTTCCGTGGATCACGAGTTCCAGTTTCTGGAAATCCGTCGTCAAAGAGAGGACTTGGGAAGCGATGTTTGCGTACTCGGTCCATCGGGCCTGCTCCAGTGCGGATTCGGCTTTCATCAACAGGGCACGAACGAGAGTGACGAAAGTGTCTGCTTCTTCGTTTTCCGGTCCCTGAGGCCCCGGATGATCCGCGAATCTCACCGCGCGGTTCAACACCGACTGAGGGTCCTCCACTCTCCGCCCTTTGTCCGAGGCGGGACGAGCATCTTCGATTTTCGTTGAAGCTTCCGACAGCGCCTTCTTCGCCGCGTTCTCGTCTTTCGGCGTGAAACTATTTTCCGCTCCCACGGCCGAGAGATACGGACTGTTCATCAACAACGTGAGGCGATCTTCGTTGTTGTGACACGATTTCAACTCCTCTAAGAAAGAGTGAAGCTGACCTGAAGTCCGGAGTCGGTCGCAGGCCGTCTCGTAAAAGGATTTGAAAGCACTAGACGACATTTTATCACAAGAAAAAACTTTTCCCCTTCGCACCTTGATAGCCTGCTGTATCTTCCCTCTTCGAAATGACCGTAACGTGAAGAGGAGTTGGCAGGAAGTTATTTTTGGAAATCTTCCCTTGCTCTTGATCTCGTGCCAGTTGGCTTTGACTATCGCGCCTTTTCTCGGAACGCAGGCATCTTCTCCCCCTTTTGTGATAATTAGCGTGAAAAACGCACTTGCTATCGTGGAAGTTCGACCACATCATTAGGAAACTTACCTGATGTATTTTTAATTTCTGCCCCCAATTTGTCCATGGCCAGGCGGAGAACGGATCGGACAAGAGCAAGCGTCAGACCAGCAGCTTGCAATTAACAAATATGATGTGAATGAGGGATTGGATTTCGTAATTCGAAATGCATAGACGGAGGATCGTCTCGGAATGCTTCCGTCAACGAACTCAAGTTCCGCAGCCGGGATGCCGAGTTGAGATAAAGCCAGGCAACCTAGTCCCTCCTACTTGTATGAGGTATACCGACTGGGCTGCCTGTCAACTTGGACTGAGAAACTTTTTTTTTTAGGGGGGGGAGGCTCGTTGGGGCATGCGTCAGCATGCGGCAGACGTGTCGGAATCGCCAGACTTTCCCTCTCTCGATCAGGGAGAAGTATAGATAACCACGGCCATAGGCGGCGATTCATAGGGGCTCAGGGAGCTCGAGTCCCCCCAAAAATTTGGCAGAAGGGGCTCACAGCGAAGGCAGCGAGGACATGAGAATAAGGAATATTTGCAAGATTACTGTTTCTGAGCCCCCCCATATTTCTCAACAAATTGCCGCCTATGCACGAGACCGCAGTGGCTCTGATGGATGGCGCCAGCGCGCATTCCATAACGATACGGGACGCCAGCCAGCCGACGTAGAAATTTCATCGAGGCGGCTTGCATCAGCGATCTCATTTTTTTAAATCATTACCGAAAATTCATGGCCGCCGGTGACGGTGGGGAGAACCGAGATGTTCGCCTTGATGGAAATGTTCGATTTGGCACATCGAGTATCATTCCGTCTGCAGTGGATTTGGAGTGGAACCGATCCAGCACGCTCTGAAAAATGAAAAGGACAGCATGTTCGGCAAATTGAAGTACTTTTACCTCGACCCCACCGATAATGATTCCCTCCGGGCTCCTGGAGCCTTCAAATCCTTTCTGAAGGAACACGAAAGGAGAGAGAACGGAACCCAGCGCTAAGTGTGAGACCTTCGCTTCCCTCGCTCATTTGAAATAAGCTCTTGATATCGCAGTGTAAGAACTGAATGGCTCGCAGAAGCTGACCGCTAATCCCATATAAGATCTTAATTCCCCTCCTCGAGATACAGCAATATTTTCCAGTATTTTCTTTTTAAAGAGCCAATATAGGGAGGCGAGACAGCTTGCCGTGCTCGTTGAACGTACATCTGGCATTGTTACTGCATCACTGTAGTTACGACCTATGACTGACAATTAAGGTCAAAACTTATCTACGATTAGAATAGATTCACTCTCTCGGCGATGAATGTCAGTTTAGTTGCGTCCTTTGTGGGAAGTAAGATGCGATATCCTAAAAAAAAAATGCACGAACTCAGAATGGTTCCCAGATTAGCAGAAGTTCTTGCATCTCAAAGGGTCCTGTCGCTTTCGGTTGGCGGCTGTCTTCGCTCAGCATACTATGGGCGCTGATGTTGTAGCATGGTTGAAGTCCAAGAGCTAGAAAGCAGGAATGCCATGAGACGAAAGGGGTTTTTAAAAGCGCCCTCACAATGGAACCCCTAACCGTTAACCCTCCTTATCTTAAATCCCCCCTCCTGTAACTTCATTAAAATCCGAGTAACCACTAACCTTTCTGTTATCCAAGTCCCTCGAGAGGCTCATGAATGGTTAATCCAGATATATTAGGTTAGGCAAGTTAGGCATTCGCCATCGGAGTACTTCAACGACCCACTTCGAGAGATGGAGAAACCCTTGTGCTCAGGGAATTTCCTTTCGTATGCGCCAGAGCTCTCACTTGTCTGTCTTTGTTGGTTTCGAAACCAGGGTCCCTGCGACAGAAGCCCTGCTCGTTTTGAACAGAGCCTCTAATCTGCCCATCTTCTGTTACTTCTGTTTAGGAGGATCCATGGAATCGATTCCATTTATTTAAAACAAGACCGTAGATATGGGTGAACACGGGTGAGCACTCGCCCAGGGCGCAACCAGAGATTTGGTAAACCTAGACTGGACATGGCGGTCGAAGATCTCACGCCGATTTGAGGGGCTGGCGGCCATAACTGATGGCGTCAACGAGACGATGAGGCATGGTATTCACCGAGGTGCACGGTAGTCTTGGCCGATGTGTTCAGGATTCGGATGCTATCAAAGACCGCTGAGTGAGTCGGGTATCACGTCTTACAACGATGAATCGGGCTCGATAGCTATTGACCCTTTAGCGGGGCCTAACCTTAGGTGTGACGGATTTTCTTTGCCCCACGTAAACCCTGCGCCAAACTGCATGGGAAATTGACATTGCACCCTCACATTATAAGTGCAATGAAAATAAAGACGAGTTCTACTCCTCAAAGACGGAAAAGGTAGCATTAATCAATTTTCAAACTACCATACTTCGTCACTGAAGACCGGGTAGCCCTTCTTGGAGAGCGTCAAAACTCACAGTGGAGTGTGACGTCATGAATCGGAAAGCTATGCGTTTATTAGGCAACTTGACGCCATGAGCGATGGCGACCAACCCTTCTAATCGGCGTGCGGATGCGGGGCGTTCTCCATTGGCCTGTCCAGTCTAGATATATTTACCATGTCTCTGGGCGCAACCCAGGAAGAAGTGCCGAGAACAGCGTTGCTAGACGTCCGGGTTTCAACCGGACAGACCGGATTTCATGTCATTCGTCTGAGGGCCATTCATAGCCTGACCCGGACAATAGAAATGTCCGGGTTTGCGAAGACAATATTATAATATATATGGGATAGGTCTGAATATAGGACGGCTCCCTAAAATATAATTTTTCAAATTTCTTTTATCAATTTCACGGCAACGATATTGCATGCATATCATGATCCAAACGGACCTATTTTTTATCTGGTAGTCTTCCTAAATAGGAGTCCGTTAAAGAAGGAAAAATCTTGTTTCACGTGCAGACCGATACGATAGATATCCATGCGATGAGAAAAAGAAGACAAAATATGTTTACCTAACTTTCAAAACTTTCTTCTGGGGTGGAGCCCAGTGTTTAGGCTTCTCCTAATCCATCCTATTTCTTCCCCTCTCGGCAACCCTTGGAGAGGAAACAGAGAGAAAAGGTTGCTACCCGAGGTCCTAAGTTTGATTCTAGCCCCAACTCCAGTCTAAATGCATCTGTTAAATCACCACCTCCCGAATATATTTTTAGGCTTTGTTAAACGAGGAAAATTCTAGCCCCTCTTGGTTCCTCCTAGACTCCCCCCTCCCGCGAAATCCTGTCATCGCCAATATCCCCTCGAGACACGCACACTCAATAAGCTTTACCCACAGACTTTTACCAAGTCCACGAACTTTGGAAAAGTCAAGCATCCTCCCATCTTCGAAATTTGTTTCAGCCTACGCTCTTGAACAAAGAGAGGGCTGGTGCCTGGGGTTAGAGGGAGGAGCGTTAGCATAATGTCCTGCCCTAGGCGCACCATACAAGATAATTACCTCCTTGATTTTAAACGAACACAACAGTTGCGTGGGCATCCGTATGTTTACGAGAAAGAAAGAGTTGAAACGATAAATAATTGAGAAAAACACAATGAATTTTCTTCAGCAGCGTGCTCCTATGGCAACACTGATGTAAACAACAGTTCTTGACCCATGTGAGACTAGGGTGAGAGGTGAGGCGCGATAAGGCCTCGAGGCCTACGACAGATTTTTTTGCATTGGCATCTATTTGGCATAAAGTATGCTTGGTCCTCACGTTAGTATATATATATATATATATATAGCCAGTATATTGTGGGGCCTAATATAATATGCTAGGCCTATGATAAGTCTGATGCCCCTCCTTCATTCTATATAGATAATATAACTTTATACACTATGGACTTCACTCTTTATAACGGTAGGCTGAAAGGGTATGACTATCTAGTAGGTTAGTCCAAGCCTGCGCTCAACGTTTGTGCACCAGAATAGACATGCTGCTGGTGTACCATTTCGACAATAAGCCAATGCTGTAAGGTAAACCCAGGCCCATTCATAACCTATACCAATCAAGGCCCCATGAGGGCACAACTAATGGCAATTCCAGAGTGAAGTGACATGCTGACTGATACTCGAGTTTAAACGATGTTAAGTTTGTTTATTTGTAGGCTAATTTGCCTGCTACACTGTTTTCTGATTGAATTCATAAACTAATAGTGGAGAACAAAGAAAACAACATCCAAAAGATCTGCTTCATCAGATGATCTGTGAAAGAAAGTACTCATGGAAGATTTCACTACCAGTAATCAATAAAAGTGCTCCTATGGGGGTATAAAATCCATCTGAAAGTAATGTAGCTTTCTATGCCATTTGAGGTTAACTTTATAGTAAGTCTAACCCAGCAAGCTTCTGTCTTTGTAAGCCAGAGTTGGTGGTCCAGCTGCTGCAATTGCTTCAATTTAACTTGCCTGTGTGCTTTTGGATTCTTTTTACTTTTTAATGTTCTAGTGTTCTGAAGCATACTCTAAAATGGGCCTAAGAAATGATTAGTAAGCAATTGCCTTAACTTGAGAGTAGGCTTTGAGTGGGTTTTGCCACAGCAGGGCTAGTACTGCTCCTCCTTTTGGTTTTGGAGAAAGTATCTATTATGGGTTCTCACCCATCCATGACTGATTGCAACTGATAATTTTGATGATGGATATTTATTGAAGTTCAGTGATTCCTGGGGAGTACTGGTACTGCACTGGATGCATTTTCCATAATCCATGGTCCATGACTTTCTCTGATTACAGATGCTGAGGATTGCATTTAGATGGCTTAAAATTTTGACAGCCTAATTGGATGAATTTGAAGTAAATCAAGGCCTGTTGTATCTGAGCATATTTATCTGCCTTGAATTTCTATATATGTGACTCAGTCATTATCCATTGTGTGAAAATGTAATGCTAATGAGATGCGCCTGATGTTTGATACAACAATATTCAGGTCCTAAAGTTCCCAATGCTAACTGTAGGTGTCAGAGGTATTAAATGAAATAGTATGTCAACAAAATCTCACTGCAACGATTGGCAGCTTCTTAAATTTCCAAATCTTGCAAATTATGCACTTTGTGTGCAACTCTTCCACGATCTTAGATGAATCATAGACCATACAACAACTAGCACAACTCAGTTAGCTAAAGATGTACATTAATATGAAACAAGACATTCCACTCAACAAAATTTGAGGCATTTGAAATCCCAAACCAACAATGGCTACAGGTCAAATAATACAACTTCTGTGAGAATATATAATCAGCTACCCCTGGCACCCATAGAAATTCCAAGTCTTAAGTAGCTTAAAACAAAACTAAAGGACCACTTAGTTTTTAATCAGATTTAACCCTTTGACTTGGTCTGTAAATTTTACAGGCTCCTGTATAACAGCCATCTATGAAACTTGCCAGTCAAAGGGTTAATGCATCTTCATAAATAATAAATATAAATAAAGCAAAAAGCACTGATTTTCACTTGATAATAGTAAACCAACCCAGGCAGGCCAGGACAAGCCACTGGCATTTTGCAAGTCCAAAAATTGAGGCAGCACTATTCTCATATCCATTCATTTATTCTTCTATTCTCTCTCCTCCAAAAATTCACTTGCAGAAAGACTTCAAAAGTACAATGACTCATTCAAGAGTCCACTTAGTCTTTCTTTCCTCTGAAATGTCTGATAGGGTTAATTAGGAGTCAGAGTTTCAATTTATGTGCCTGCCATGACATATTGGCATACCAAATTTGAAAATAAGTCTTATGCTTAAATCTCCTAGCCCTTGTCATCTACCACCAAGGCAAATGGTTATTGGACCTGAAGCATTAAAGACTTATTATCATGATGGGTTATTTCCACTAGGTCTTTATGCCTTACTCTACCTGTGATAACTGATATTGGTGCAAATGTGAGCATCAAGATGCCTTTGACTCATGCCTTGCAGCCCTTGCATCCAAAAATGGATGGACAAGCTTATGAGCCAACTGCTCCATCCAATGTAGAAGCACTGGGGCCTCATCTAGTGACCTTATGTAAGTAAACATATATATATATATTTCTGTTATTGAAGTGCATGTCTTGGAAAGAGCTAACACAAACTGTTTTTAACATGGATCTTGAGGTAAGTGTTGTTTTTGACTAACATTAAATCATGGATATGGCTTGTTTATGACTCAATTTACCCAGTGCATTACCTTAACCCAACTCAACTTTTCCATGAGCCTTCACCTTTTCATGTGCAGTCATTTTCTCATTTCATTAACAGCTTCCCTGATTTTTTTTTTTTTACGTTTCCACATGCCTGGAACATCGATGTTGCGAGTGGCTTCTAAACTAAGGATACGCTGATCCAGGTATGAACCGATACAGATCTAATTATTAAGTAATTACAAATACCGATACTTGCATATGTTTCGGGAAAACACGAAAGCACATTAAAGAGGACACCATCCTTGCACAAAATCGATAAAGTATTCCCAATTTACTGATCTGGGCTCAAATATCAAAAAGGTCTGAGAGGCGCCTTATGAATTAGCGTAATTCGACCCTAGTTCAGACAGACAGAGCCCTATGCATTCCCTTCCTCCAGGAACAGGCCTGGAGAAAGAGAGAAAGACTCTTCACCTACCGTTGTAAAATTTAAAATATAAACATAGGGTGACATGCACCAGATCCGTTTAACTTTAAAATGATCTGATTTCATAATGGGCGTCTATAGGAATAAGATTATCTCCGTCAAACGGATTCCCATAGAGGACCATTGTGAGATCAGATTAGTTTAAGTAAAACAAATCTGGTGCCCATTATCGGCAGATTCGCCATGTAGGCATCGTCGGATATCCCACCGATCCTCATGATATCGACTGATATTTGGTGTCTGGTGTTGGTATTGATGCTATCCTCTTCAAAACTAATAGGAAGACTCTTTGACAGAATCGACAGAAATAGACTGGAAAAAGTGGGAAAGGTGCGTCTGCTTCCAAGAGATCTCAAACTCAGAGATGTATGAGATCATGCCATTGGTTTTTTCTCCGCTACCGTTCATAAATGCGAAAATGATTTTTTTTTTAAGGTTTCGTTTCGTTCTTGGACAAGGCCAGTCCGAACGGCTGGGTCTAGGCCCCATAATAAGTCGGTCTTTGATTATAATCACACCCATCGAGAATACTGAATTGAGATCACGTCCCTCCCTGAAGGACCTTTCTTAAACGACATGCGCCTTCGTTGCTTTCTCCTGGGTTCTCACTGGCCTGGAAAACTTAAAAATGTGACAAAGGACGTGGAGTTATAGTGCAAAAATTATGAAAATTACCCCAATTTACTGAAAGTTAGGGAAATGGAAAATTCACATCATCAATCGTTCGCAAAGAAAATGAAGCAAGTGTACAATAAAGGGGAGTTTATTCGCACAAATACACGGATTTTGGGTTGATCTGAAAGTTTGACTGATGATTCGGTGTACGACAGGCTGTCGTAAACGAAAATAATCGACGTGAACGAGAAATCGCGATGCCTTGGTCTTAATATACTTTCCGCCATATTTTCACTTGATCTTGCCAAACGAGATCAGATATCTTACTTTCAACTTCATTCTAGACCAAAAATGTTCATTGCTTCCCAAGCAGAAGGAAAACATTGTTCTTGGCCTTTGTCATAATCAGAAGTCTCGCCAAAGTTCAGTGGGAGTTTTTGAATTCTGGAATAGATTTGGTAAAATGCGGAATGCGTGCGAAAGTGCAAAATCATTATCCTACTTTCCTCTTGCTTCCTTTCTGATTTGAGAGCCCAAGTGAACCCAATCCTCCACCTCCCTGTATTGAGAGAAAACTAATATGGCGTGGAGAAAATTGGCTGTTTTGATTGAAGACGTATGCCCTGACGAAAGGGAATGTCTGCTCTTATCGATAGTTTTTTTCTATTCTGGAAACGCGGTGAGATTTTCTTTTGGCGAAAATTAGCGAAAAGCGAGAGGGGAACTAGATTTCTTATAGAAATGACTTCACGACAAATCCCCCTAGACAGACAAAGGCAGCTACCAACTATCCAGTATAGAAGGGCCCATACTTGTTGGATCCAAAGAGGGAGAATGGTTCTCCAGGGTATTGGATCTCTTCTGCCTTTGGAAAGGAACGTTAACCCTTGGGGTAGCCCCTTAGTTTCTTTGTCATGAGGGGCGGGAGCTAGAGAATACACCCTCTTCATATCATCCCTCTGAGTCCCTGGGGGATCGTGACGTCACATTCTACCCGCGATTGTGACGTCGTAAAGGACGAAGTTGCGTCGGATGCTGTGGGTTATCCTGTATAGACGCCGTGATTTAAGATTAGATGTCTCTGCCAATTGTCCTTCGTGTGGCTGCGCCCTCCTGCGGGGGGATTCAATCCGCAGTCGATTTATCGTGCAAGACGTATCTGCTCTTCTCCATGTACACGTAGCAAATTAATTTTGCCTGCTGTATTCAGTGGGTCGGATATCTCAGTATGAATAGGAAGGATGATAAATGCCTCTTCCGTCTTATCAAGTGCTCCAAATCGTATATTTAGTTTTGCTGCAGGGATCTTTGCGATGTCAGGAGAGGCTCCTGGGACATCCCACAAATCATGAAGCTATTTTCTTCGTCATTACTTCCCGCTGAATGAGAGGAGGATGACATTATTTCGCTGCTCGATGAAGGACGGTAGGGTCTTAGACAGTATGGACTGGTTCGAACCTGTCTGTCGTTCTCTGCTTCCTTATAACGAAGGATTTCAAAATGGAATATTTGTATGCTCCTACAGTTAGCCTGCCACCCAAAGTGGGTTACGATCGGCTCACCCTATCTGGCGGAAGATCATGAGATTGGCTCGCTTGTATAGAAGCTTTACTAACTATGAGCCTCAAGTTCTATGAAAACACACCGGTATATCGTAATATGAATTGCTCTGTCCATTGCGTGTTCGGATCAGTGGTGATGCCAATAATGTGAACTCAGACAGCACACGACGTTGGGCCCACGTTGGCTGTGAATGGAGGAGCGTGGGCCCACATCGTAGTGGGCAGCCCGTGTAGGCTCATCGGCCCTCAATATAGCCACGATTTCAGTAGTATCAGATAGTGACTTGCTATGAGTTTCCAGTAATTTTAATGTGATACCTGATTTTTTCCTATAGATAACGTAAGGGACAGAGAGAGACTCTGGAGTTCTTGAAAGCATTTCTTTAAAACAAACCAGATCAGAGACTCCTGGCAATTGTGGAGGGAGGATAATTCAACAAGGGGCCTGATTCGATGGGGTGAGGATGATTTAAACCTCGACTCTTCGAATGCGGAGACCATGTCTGACTCCCTTTCGGGGGATGTTCATACGGGTGTGATGAAAGACATTGCTCAAGGGGTCTTACTTGGCAAGCACTTCCAGAGCGGGAAAAGAATCAGATGGGTGATGGATGATGTCACTTTTGTGTTCTAATCCCGTGTGGAAAGTGAGTGCCATAGATGGAGACAATCGAAAGAGTACTAGCTGGCGTACTCCCAGCCGGACTGAGAGAGACTCGGCAGCGAGGTTCCAGGAAGGGGATCTAACAATCATGTATAAATAAGGAAGCTTTCTCCAGGCCTCTTCTAAGGGCCTGAAAGTCATGCTGCACATCAGTGTAGAGTGTTGACGTAATGTAGATTCCCAACGTAGGTGTGCAGCCTGGGGGGGGGGGGGGGGGGGGGGGGGGGTTTGGCGCAGCATTCCGGAGTAAGGGTTTATTTTTCGTCCTTGCGACAAAGGAGCGAACTAAGCTTGGGATTAAGTAGAGCAGGCCTTTTCATCTGATCCATGGGGCGCTTGAGTAAGGAATGTATTCGTCTGATGTCTCCACTGGCAATGATTATCCTTAATAATAATTTAAAAATTCCCATGTTCAGTTGTGAACATCACCTACCCGAACAATGGTCATCGCTAGACTTCATTAGTTGGAGGTTTCATGTAGCCAAAGGTTTACGTATTTAAAGGCCTTATATACTGCAGAAAATATTTTATTTTTATTGATTGACAAATTTTCGTAATCTTTTTGTATGCCTTACCAATATTCTCCTCTGTTGATACAGTGTTAGTCCACCCTGAACATGATGCGTGCAATACAACATAAGCTAAATGGTCCATAACGGGAAAGAATCAAGTGTCATCAGTGTGACATCTTGCGTGAATAGTAAGTACTGATGAGTCGGAATGCACTTTCAGAGAGCGAGCTCATGTATACCTGGACGCAGAGCCGTAGATTAAGAGGATCGCCGCATGCGCGCTCATCCGAGTGCTGTCCTCCATATCGGTACTTAGTCTTTTCCTAAATGCATGAAACTGCCTTCTTCATGCTTCATACTGCCACAATCTCGAGAGGAGAGCATATCTGCTGGTGAATCCATAAATGGCCTTTAGAGCATAATTCATGTGGCATATTTTATTCGCTACTCTTGCCTCCACTCCTCCAGTGGCTCATATAATTTATAGCTTAGCCACTGAATAAAAAAGTTTATCCTCATAATGACCAGGAAGTGATTTTAAAAAGTACTTATACGGGCATAATCATATAATGTTCAACATTATCGATGAGAAAGATATTTTGGTTTTGTCTACTGCCAAAGTCCTGGATACTTGCTGTCAGTATTTTTTGGACAGCATTTTACTGTAGTTTTTAAATGTTTACGTAAAGCTCGGTCTGCCTTTTCTCTCGCTTCCTCTTAGCTGAAATCTGCAGCCAGTCCGAAAAAATAATCTGATGATCTCCATTAAAAGCATTGGGTGATTTGAACTCGTCTTTATTTACTTTTTTCTCAGACGCAAGGTTGTCTGTCAATCATGATTATGGGTGGATTATGGATGGTGGATGGTGGAATCCACCCAATATCTTTTCTCACCTTCCAACATTATCTGAAAACTATTTTAAAAGGCTGCTTTTCTTGAATACCTTCGCCGGTAAGGGAATCATTCTTCTTAGTTCATGCCATTTGGTTCCCATCTAGGTTATGTCGGGAGCACGTTTCGCACGTTTCTTATTAGTCACTGGTTTCATTCCAGACAACATAACATGCGGAAGAGAGTCGAAGGAATCTCTGCATTGCTCTTCTTCCTCCATAGCATGCTCCGGAAGTTGCATCCGGAAATGCAGTAAAAAATGCTTTATCATGACGTTTGCATCTCCCACTTTTGGCTTATTTTAGATGCTGAGTTAATTCCCAAAAATCCCCTAGAATTTTCCCCTTCTGTTGGCTACGAAATAACAGAGAAGAAGCGGGAGTTTCAATCGCTCGACTGCATCTGGGGGCAGTGAGTATAAGCGGTGGAGTCAAAATGGTGTCCATAAATCACCTGACATAAATCACAAACCTAATCCCAGGGCACAGAGGCTCGGACATAGTTGTCTCAACTCTCTCCATCTATGGCTGCCTCGGTGCTGAGACTCCATAAAGTGAGAAACCTCATGAGGTCTTGCTTCCTTTGTGGGCTGAGATGAGAATCGGAATTGTCTCCCATCGCAGTTTCCATTGTGTTCGCCTTGATTAACTCTGTCGGAAATATAGCCCGTTTTATCCTATCCGCATCAGAGGCATTTCGTCTTTCCCATTCTACATGCAGTTCCAGCTCTCGAACTTTTGGATTGTTCGGAAGAGTTCGAAGGAATGCGAATCATAAGGCAGCTTAATACTCCCGATCCAATTGAATCAGTTTTGAAATAACAGTGATGTTAGATGCCATAATCGCATTCTGAGGGCTGCGAACGAGACTTTTTTCCCTTTGGATTAGCTTCGAAATGTTGAAACGTCATCTCCTGGGTAATTTCCCTATCGTTCCGACATCTCTTCGGTCATCAGGTTGGCATTTTTCAAGGACATCAGGACAGGAGATGTTATACGCAAACAAGCTGCACTCAATGAAAAATATCGCCAATGTGTCAGGAGTACTGCACGTGAAGGAAAAAGAGAAAGAGCGGTGGTGACAGTGGGAAAGAGTGAATTTGGCGGGTGGCCCAAATTCACCTGTGTCTCTGTGTCCTTTACTGCCTGCCTTCCTTACTCTGCCCCCGTTTCTCCCCTTCACAGCCCCATTCTTTCCCTTCCTTCTTTCCTCCTTAACACCTAAACCTTTTTTTCCCCTCCTTGGAATGTGGACTTGTTTGATGTGCGACCGGTGGAGTGACCGATTTCCTGGACTCTAGGATAATTTACCAAGCCTTGCGTGAGGTTTTTTTTCCGGATTTCATTCACGGATTTGAAATAGTTGACGGCAGATCTCATCTCTCGGTTCACCTATAGGAGCTTATAGGATCCAGTTGTTCATTTACAGCCTCCGACTCCTGGTGGAATTGTGTTGCAGACTGCTGCTTTGTATTCCTGTTGTTTACATTTCTTGTTTATTATCGAAGAGGGAAAGTGGAGACAAACCTGTTGCTGGTGCGCTCAAGGTCAGGATCGTATTTTGATATATGATCTATGGGTTGATCGATGACTGGGTGGATTCTGGCTGTGCCAAAAATATGCACGTCTATTTATCACGCGCTGCAGAAGAAAGATGGAAGAATGAGATTCCAGTTAACCATCTCCTCCCAGCTCGTAATTACTACGGGAATTGCAGGAACGCCGTTTCTCGGCCTTTTATCCGTATCTGTTGTGTCTAAATAGCATTCCTAGACTGTATCTACAGGATCAAACGAAAAGACAGAACGTCTAGTGTTCTTTTCTTGCCCGTGAACTTAGGCGATTTATTCGCAAGATAAGCATGTTCTTCTACGACAGGATGAGATCTTTCATTGATATCCTGGTGGGGTTAGCAAGTTACAAATATGCCCAATCATGTTCCAATGAAGGACTGCATGCATGCACTACTCGCACTCTCTTTCACGCGAAGGGTGGTGGAGGAAATTTGCCAAGTGTGAAAAAATTTTTCGGTGACATGGACGAAACAAACCCTGTGGAATTCATATGTTGTCGAATGAGTCTTGCTTCAGCAGACTTTCATTCCTCTAACTCATAACGTTGTGATACTCCTCAGTTGAAGGCAATTGGGCGATTTTGCAAACTGTGAGGAAATCCACCTATTGTTCACGAGGAAAGTTACGCACAGTGCTACAGAGTGACATGTCTTTCTTTTGGCAAAACTCTAACATTTCACGCGCAAACATGAGATGATGAGTGACTTGCCATATCGGTTTGACGTAAACGAATCTTCTTTCGTAAAGGGACCCGTATGGAAGCCGTTTTAACTTGGCTGATCTCATTCTATTTAACACCCATGAGATCGGTTTAACATTGAACGGATCAGGTACTTGTGACCCTGTTAGGATGGTGAGGTTGACACAAGAAATGAAAGTGCTTCATAAATGATTGCGTGTGTAGCCTTCAGGGAGCTAAGAGGCCTAGGGACGTACCAATACCATATTTCATTTGTTCAATCGTGTGACATTTTCTCAGGATTAGTCCAAAGAGGTCATGAGAAGAGAGAATTTCCTCAGGACTAGTCGTGCTGTTGCCCTTCTTCCATCCATCATCGGTAGGCTCTTAAATTATCTCTAGCTCTTCGCGAGTGCACAGTCATTTATAGATTTTAGTTGAGGGGCAAGTGTCTCTCAATGCATGAATTGCCGAGGTCTCCTTGGTTTGGAGAGCTCGGGTTTCGCCATGCTGTCATCGATGGGAGGGCTGAAGTGCATCTTCAGTTTGCTCATCCACAGTCATCATGTTCATTCCCACCTCCTCTTCCATTCATCATCATACGGACCCTCTCTTTTGGCATCTGGCCCCAACTACCGCCTATTTTGGCGAGACCTTTAATTTCGCGTTCGTTCATCTGAGAGGAAACTGTACGGATCCTTTCAAAGAACCTCGGAAGTAAGGAAATAAACAGGTCCCTTGATGGCCTCGTGCTTCCCATTCGTGTACTATTGGAGCCGAGAGAGCGTGGATGGATTGAGTGGGGGATAGAAAAAGAAAATCCTTGTGCCTCTCATTCACCTCGTCCTCATTCCTTTGCATTAGTGCATTTCTATATTCTGCTTGCGACCTGTGTGCCGGTGAGGTTCTGAGGAAGAAAAGGCAGGGGCAAGGGATATGTTGAAGAGTCGATTTCGATCTAGTTACAGGCGTGGACCCTCCGGTTGGACTTCTGGTGGTGAGTGCCTTTTGCCTCCTGATCCCTGTCCCATTTAATTGTCTTATTCTCGCCTGCCGCTCTCGCAACGTATTACCGATCTCGTGGACTGCTTACCAAGGCTTTCAGCTCTGGAATATTGAGTTGGTTCATATCTCACACGTGCATGCATACGTATGCCAATGGCCCGTATATAAAAAGCACCTGTCTCTAGAGCCTTATTTAGACTGACGAAATTGCCATTTGGTGTGATGACATTCTTACACACTCATTTAACAATCCTAACCTGGAGACTAGCAGCAAATGAGGTGGTCCAAAAATAAACTGCAGTTGGATTTTTGAGTTGCTCTGTGATAGAAACGTAGGCTTTTGAGATCTTCATCATTTTAATAGGAGGCTTCATCAAAAGCTTTTCTTCTCGCCAGATGAATTTGTATTTTAAGAACCTGACATTGGAATGGATGCAAATCTTAGACTTCCAATTCTTCTGTGTGCATTGCATCATGGATGCAATTTAACCTTGAATTTAAAAAATAAAAATTTATGAGTGTTACACAGCCAATCATGAAGCATCTCTTGGTCTAATTCGATGTTGGACTTAATTACATTTTTAAATGTATGTTTAGGTTTGCTTTTTCTACAAAAAAATTGATTTTCCTAATTCCGTAAATTTTATTGCTTTCTTGCCCATTATGACTCGGAATGGAAAATATTTTGGTGCAATTGCATAAAAAATGCTTCGTTTTTGTTTTCATCTGTAAAACCAGGCGTCCTGTTTCAGTTCCACTTTCGCGACTTTTGTGGATCACTTTTACCCGTCCTTCTTATCGAAAATATATTTATCAGTTGCCTGAAAGGTACTGGAAGAAAATGATTGGAACCTCCTGCGATTCTTAAAATAAAATTGAACAGCAGTTGACATCGGAGCTGTTGGAGTTGACGTGTCTTCACAAACCAAAAGGCCTATAACTAAAGGGCAGTTGAATAGTTAACTAGTGATATAAGATGGTCTTTTATTTCAAGAGTCGATTCACACAGCTAAAAATGGTAATTAAACAACTTCATGCAGCACAAAGGGATGCATGGGTGCCATTAGGGCGTTCGTTTTGCTATTTCCTTGCAGAGTGTGGATGAAAGCATGGTTTGTGTATAGACGCATGAGGAAAAAGCTGAAATTAGACAATGCCAGAAATGGTAAAACTAATCGGATGGCATCCTTATCGCTGAGGGTGTCAGACCATCACTCATGGCTGGGGGAAGAGAAGACGAGCAGGCTAGGCCTACGCCTTCGCTATCCGTCATTTGCTTATACGGTTCCTTCGCGAGTACCATAATGATTTTCTCAAATATAAATACTGAGGCTTACCAACCACTACCTATGCGAAACGTGAGTCAATTTCTTCCGTTATTTGGTTGAAAGAGACATGAGTAGGGAAGTCGTGGTTCACGTAGTTTTGCCAAACCTCAGCAATCTTCAATGCCCTCGGGATTCAATAGTCCTGACTTTTCCGTCAACGTATCGAGAATCAGCGGTCTCGTTCCCTCATCCTTTTAATGCATTTGATGACCTGGTGTGTGAAAGTGACACAAAGCCCGTACCTCTGTGCGTGGGTGGAGACCTCTGTGGGAAGAAACTAGGATTCATTGCTGGAAAGGATCATCGCTAGAGGACAGACGGAGGCGTGTAAAAAGTCAATTTTGACAAGTCAATAGTCTTAATATCACTTTGCCATTAGAGTAAGTGTAGAGTAGTCTGGGAGGATGGGGTATTACGAGCAGAACAAAGTAACATGGTTACCACAGGGAATACAGTGTTGCCAGACGCTCGTCATAGAAACTCAGGCCATCTTAATACATTCGTATCAAAATGGATCTGCGTTTTAAAAAAAAGTCGTATTCTTGTGCCCTAATTTTTCCTCGAGTCGATTCTACCTGCCACTAGTGAGTAGATAAGACCGCACCGTCCTTGCATTCTCAGATCTCAATCTTTCGTAACCTGGGTAGCTCAAGTATGCAAAATAAAAAGGGAGAGTCTTCGTCCTATGAAGTGATGACAGTCATGTAGTGGATGGCTCAGGCTTGGACGGAATCATCCCTTCGCGGTTGCTGCAAGAGAAGCGCTTTCTTTTGCCTTATTGGACAAGGATTGCCCGATCCTCGAAAAACGTAAACTTTGAAATTAGAAGAAATGGGAAAATTGTCGAACATGCTGTATCCTTGACGGAGCCCTCGAAGGTGACACATAACCTTTACGCGCACCTTCCCAGTTGTCTGCTCAGATCTTGAGTGCCAAAGGCTTCCATGCCATCTTGTATCCATCGGACGACTATGTCCGTAGGAACATGCACAGACTCTTGCCAGATCACTTTGTAACTCCTTGGCATCTTCGCCGAGTCGCATGTATTTGGAGTCATTCAACTTAGTTAATGTATAATATTTGCACAATTCTTGAATGATAATTTTACCATCTATGCACCTATAGAATCTGTGCAACTTCTCTTGAGAAAACATATCCTAAATTTTAAATGATAGCAAAACCTCAAACCTTCGTGTCCTGAAGAATTGATGTCAGTACTTTGATGTGAAACTTTATGAAAGGCGATGAAACAATAGCGCATCTTCAAACGGGGATGACTTTGAGCGCCTTTCGCATTTCATCCATCGGAGACTGTTGTGAGGGTAGGACGTGCCCCTCTTTTTTATACTGCATTTCAGGGTGCCATTCACTCGGCTGTTCCTTGACAGGGTGGGAAGTTTCTGATTTTGACATTGACAAGGGAAGACGGGGAACACATGGGGTCTTCCCGTAGAAATATCTCTTTCTCAGACGTGCGTGGAAAGTGAAATGCGCAGGAGTGGGGTGAGAGGAGAAAATGGGAAATATAAGGGAGACCTAGCGATGGGGCAACTTTAAGGTGAGACCAATGAGGAATGGGGCACCTTGCACGCTCTCTCTTGTGTCCATGGTAAACTCTTTCCTCCTTGATTGATGCTCTCACTGAGACCCCCTGTCTCTGTGTATACAAGCGGGACCTTACCCTTCTCGGGTGTCCTTCTCCCTCCCCCTCCTCGCTCTCTTGTCTATCTATCTCTATATTTACTCGAGGAGGAATACCGTTCGGATGGGATTTCTCCCGCGTCCTCTGCATGACGAGTGACCCCGAGGATTCGTGATCATTATCGTGATCGTGATCGTGAGGATGGCATTCAAGTGTCCGCTAGTGGTGAAGACTCGTCTAACGCGTCCGGCTCTCCCGCCGCCGCTTTTGCCCGTCGGACAAAGGCGACTTCGAGTTATCCTCAAGAAATTCCGTGAAGGTCCACAAGTTTCTTCCCATCAAATCCGCTTGCTTGTATTCATTTCTGTGATTGAGACTTAAATGTAGCAGTCCCGTCTTTATTCACGATTGAATTTTTCGTCGTCAAGTAGTTCTACACCTTTGTGCGTTTTTCTTTTTCTCTGAACTTGCTGTGGGGTGGATTTCAGGAAGTTCTTCTGAATTTACAAATTTGAGCTTGTCCAGCTGGTTTCGAGGGGAACCTTCACGTTTCTGTCTGGAGAACTCGATCTAATGCAGAACAGACTCGTAAAGAAAAAACCTCTACCTCCTTAAGATCACAGCTGCAATAAGAATACTAAGGAAACCTGCTTTCATATCGAATCGAGACAATTTAAAAAAGCACAAATTCGGATGAACTCGTCTTCTGCTTCCTTACCTAAAATACTGGTTGCAAGGGAAATGGTGTTTTGTGTTCGTCTCAAGAAAATACCCATGATATTTTCGTATTATATCGACAGGATTCAGAAGTTTAGAATGAACCTCTGAATAAAATATTCAGGGAACATTTTTTTAATCACTGTTTCTCTTGCACAAGTGGCAATTTTATTCATTAAATCTTTCTAAGATGATAGATTTTCAATGTTTTGTCTTATTTAGCTTTACTCATTGTATGAACTACGTGAATTAAAAAATTTTCCTGGCTCTTGATGACACTGTCATATACACCCGGAAAAATAGCCTTGGTTTATTGGCGGCTAATGCCTCAACCTTACTGTCAGCAACTTTCTCGTTTTCGGCATGCACCGTGTGTTGGGAAATCGTGCAGGTTCGCGAAGGTGTGGTCACGTTTAGCTGTTGCTACGAATTTCCCGTGAGGAGAGATTGGTATACCAGCATTTGGCGTATTTCGTGAATGTCGAAGTTTAAAGTACAAAAAGAGACAGGATGAATTGGTATGACTCACTGGTACGAAAAGGTTTCTTTCATTCTAGTGATATCAATCGACATTAACACTTAGTGCTAATGTTATTATATTTATATCTGAAATTGTCATCAAACGATACGCTATCCGGAGTAAATAAGCGCGTGTAACGAGCCTTGACGTTACGTGGACGCAAAATTTATTTCGCGAAAATATAAATGGAAAAATGTTTTCCATGGGATGAATAATGACGATCGCGACGCATGCTCCCGCAACCGTCATGCACGAAGTAACCCGCGAAATCGATTTCTCAGTTCAGAGCCGTGCTCGCATAATAGGTTTCCAAGTCATTTGTCGCATCACACTTCTTGCCTATTTCCCGATTTTGCACGGTGAAATAAGCGAGGGGAAAAAGAAAGGTATAATGGGTTGTCCTATGCACATGCTAGTCTTAACACTGTCTTATCCTCAATTCAACCATCAATGTCAAGAAATTCATCATATTGGCCCTGGAGATTTGAAGTATTCATTAAGGCTGCATATAATATTTGTCAATTTGAATCACTACGCTTGTTACTTTGCAGGGACGATCTTTCGTCCGTTACAACTGTAGCTACTGTTGTCAACGACGGTTTTAGTTCCGCATAATTACGTTAAATTAAAAAAACTTTCGGTATCGTTTCGTGAGAATAGCCTCCTCGATATTGTCATTTTTCACAATTGGTTCCATCCAGCAGTTTTGTGGACCAGGCGCATTGTCACAGAACAGTAAAGATGCACAGCACTTCAGAGGCAGTGTTCTTACACGCCTGGAAACGCCAGGGAAATATAAAGGAACGAAAAACGACAAGGAAAATCGCCCGACAGCCAGGGAATTGGGCACAATTCATGCATTCAGTTCACGAGCAGTAGCTCGTGAAGGAAGTGGAAGATGGAGGTAGTGCTTGAGAGCAACAATTTGGGGGAAATTATGACGGAAACCATCGTAAAAACCTGGGAAATGTATTCTGATGTTTGTGCGGTGACCCCGAGACGCTCGCGAGGAACGAGGAAGGCTGCAAAAAACCACTGCTTTCAATGCGACCTCGTTCATGAAAGCCTTTACATGCACATGGCCGCATTTAAGCTCACATGACAGGGATTTTAGTGATGTTTTTAATTTTGTTTTCTTTGGCAGGTCACCCACCGGACGTGGAAGAAGGACCATGCACGCCGTCAGCACCTCCTTTCGAGTTCCTGGAGCCAGTCCGTGGCTACGAGGGTCTTTCCTTCCTTGCCAGTCAGTCCTTTTCTTTTTTTTACTATCTCACTTTTCTTGTTGTTTTCCTCTTCTCATTCTTGCCAATGGAAACATCCTTTCCTCCCCTTTCGTATCCCATCTCTCTCATCGTCTGCTCTGAAGTTTCTGTTGGCCTCTTCGTAGTGACTGTTTACACATCCAGGTCTCTCATCTCCTCTCTCATAATCCTATAATGGCCTTGGATTGGGCTTGGGGAGGAGGAGAGTCATATTCCGTGTCGCTGGTGAATTTTAAACTGGAATTTAGTCCTCTTCTTCTTCGAGTACCCTCATCGTTTCAATATCTCAGATGAACCTATGGTCGTTTCCAATAGCCCTCTGTAAATATCAATTGACGAGAATTATCGCAAGTAGTCGTTATTCAGGAAGAATTCGATGAAAAATAGTTCCAGTCCAAAATAAGTGGGGAAGATAGGAAGAGATTGTTAAATTGGGCTCCTAACACTTAGTAGAAATTAATATATCTACTATTTTACAATCCCGAAGCCAGAGCCTGAAAGATTCTGAAACGATGTAACACAATCTGATACACTGAAGTACGTAGCTGTTTTACCGATTACGTCCACCCGAAGTCGGTTTATGGTCAGTAAGCAGTGTCGTAGCTACCGAATGTGCAGGCGGTGCGACTGCACCGGGGCCCACGGGCCAGAAGGGCCCAGACGCCGAGCTATGAAGAGGAGGGGGGGGGGGAGGCGGAGGCGTTTGCTGGGACATCGGACATGCTTGCTGGGACATGCTTGGCATCGGGACGAAGTGAGAGCCAGCAGCCGAAAAGGAAAGTTCGAAAGGAATCAAAGGAATTCAACCCGACACTGCACAGTGACATCTCGCAACTGGGACGCCGCTTCGTGTGGTTAAATGAAGTGGTGGCCACTTCCAATACCATTCACCCAAGGCCGGATTAAGGGGGGGGGGGGGGGGGGGGCAAAGGGGGCTGTTGCCCAGAGCCCCACTTTCCCAGGGGGCCCCCAAAGGAAATTGAACACGTTAAGTATCAGATATTTGCGTAAAGTAACAGTGTGAGGGGGAGGGGGGCGACTGCCTCTCCTCTAACCAAGTTCGCAAGCAATTTTTTAAATGTAGAATGCACATAAGTTAATGTTTATTAACTCCTGTGAAATAGATATTCAGGGTTTTTACCCCAGACTAAATATGAATAAGGCGATAGGACAGAGGGTGGTGGTAGATGGGGGGGGGGGGCGCTATGAAAAATTTCTGTATCCCCCGCTGCCTTCCACTGACTTCAGCTACCAACGACGATTTATATGCTGCCAGAGAAAATCTATTTTAAAAAAAGTATGACTCCCACATAATTCAATAGTAAGAAATTGGACAGCTGGCCTCGTTTCATTCCTTGCACCAGGGCCCATGCCAACCACGCTACGCCACTGTACGTAGTAGTCTACTTTCCAAAAAAAATAGTCATCACATGGCATAAACTATGAGTTAAAAAAGGTCAAGAGGGGAGAAATCAAGGAAACTAATTGCCATTCCGCAAATTCAGAGTTGCACATTGTGGGCAATGGCCCTCAAATAGGATGTAATGTCACACGTTTCATTGGTCTCATACACAACTTCGCCTCCAGCGCACGGAGCCTCCAGCGCACCTGGATGAACGATCCCTTCTTTGCGGAGTGAATTTCCATCCGTCACTGCTCTCACACAACAGTCAACTTCTACATTTACACTATGTAACCGTCGCCACCGCTTCGTCTTTCCGAAACACGTATATGTGAATGAGCAATAGGCGACCTCCCTTCTGCAAAGTCACGAACTTCATTCCAATCGTAATCCACACCACGCAAGAAAAGAGGAGAGAAAACAGGTATCTTCATCGGTGTATGGCGGATTCTCAGTCTGATACGAATCTTCCTGTCTGACGGTCTTGACTTCGCATTCACCTATCCGTCTGGGTTTTCGGCATTTTTTCGAGATAGTGTTACTTTCAGTGTATTCAACGTTCGGCGAACTAAGGGATTCGACATTTATGCTGTTCAACATATTTATCCTTCGATATTCCGCGCATTCGTTATATTAGGCTTTCGGCATTTTGTTAGAGACCCCCAAGGGTACTACATCCATGAAGGTATCGAAACTTGAAAGGATCCTGACGCTCGTTCAAAACTGCCAGTTAAGACTGACTTCGTAGGGATGACAACGACTCGAAAGCAGAATTGGACAAGTGGCTGCTTCGTGTATTCTATTCACAGTTCTCCGTGCCGTTAGTATACTTAGCGTTTCAATTCGTGCCTTTGATGCCGACAGACGAGCGACCCCAAAGGGGCGATTATTTGGCGATGAGTTTCGACGACGATGACGTTCGGTTTCCCTTCGATGCGAAAGTTTTCGTGTTTGGTTCAATCGTTGATTTCGGTACCCTCATCACCGTGTGTTCGGCACCAAGGTGTGCAAGCATTTGGAAGGCCTCGCTGTGCGAGTTGGAAAGAAACGCTGCTATTGAACTTGTTCGATAGATGCATCCAGAAATATCGAGTAAACTGCGTCTCTAGTTTTCATTTCTTGAGTGTGTGGTCTCCCATCGCTTCGAGGCTGCAGTGGGTGTTTATAATAATGGGAAAGTGTTTTTTTTTTTTTACAATCAACGTCGATATCGATACGAGTCACCGTCGATGAAGCGATTGTGCTATGACAACGTAAAAGCAAAAACACGATGAAGAGGACAGTTGAAGTGCACACTGGCTTACGCTTCCAGGCACCTCTATAAAGCCATATGAAATAGAAAGCTGTGTGTTAGGAGTTCATTTCGCTTTCTCAGAATTTCTTGCGTGTGCATATGGGATGTGTATCTCGTTCAGATGAATATGTGAGTTGGGCGCTATTGAAATAATGGAAGAGTCATGAATACGCAAACTTTTAGGTCTGAGACCCTCCCCTATTAAACCTGTTTATGTAGCAGCATCGATTAGCCATTAAGGTTTTAATATACCATTCCAAAAAGAAAGAAAGAAAAAACAGCGGTGGGGTATCTCCGGCTGGGAAAGAAAAAATCTCCCGGAATCTTGAGCCCCATTCGAGGCAGAACCATGCATTAATATTGCTGGCTGTTCTTTTTATGAAGCAGGTTTCAGTTAACCATCAAAGTCATCAAGCAAAGGGAAAAAATCAATGCCGCAGATGGAAATGGCTTATGCTGGCATTACACAGAGTAAAGCATGGAAAATACCCAAATAGCACACCCTCGTTGAATCAACATTCATTCAACATTTAACGTCAGCGCATATAGCGTATAACCCTCTTTCTATGATTGAATTTGTGTCCTAGCAAAATGGGGAATGAAGCAGGGTCATAAGGAATGTGTGAGATTAAGCCAAGAAGGGCCAGTCAACCTTGGAGCTCGGGATCTGTTCGGACGAACGCCTTCTCCTTTCCTTGCCTCCATATATTTTTTTTTATAGGTATATTTGTAATGCAGCCCTTGCCTCTGGTGCAATGCCTATTCATATTGAATTTCAGTCGAATTTTTCATAGTCATACACTGAAATTACACCTATATTTATAGAATAATTCCTCTCGCTTTACGTCAACCTAAGATACCCTAAAGATATTGCTTCGCTCTTGAGGACAAAAACGAGGAATACTCCACTCTGCTCTTCTTTAAATCGTGCTTCGAATCGATTTGCATGTTGAAACTGGATTAATTAATGCATGTTGCATTACATCGAGTGGAATCGTCTTCTCTTGGATAAAAGAGAAGAGTAATTAATGGCCAAATAGCCCAGTCCCACCAGCTTCACATTAATAAGAGTTGACCAATAGTTTTAAATTCAGCAAATGAACTATCCCAACTTTTTTTTTTACCGTGAGTATGAATATATTTGAAATCCTTTCTGAAATGTGCTCTTCTGCAGTCTTCACATGACAGCTGAAGCTGAGTGTAAATTACCATTTCGGTGACAGGGAGCTGCAGCGCCTCGAGACGCAAACTAAGTCCCCGGTCTACTCTTTCTACATGGAGACCCTGACGGGGTTGTCGACCATCAGGGCGTACGGCCAGGGGAAGCGATTCTTCCAACTCGCACTGGACCGACTCGACGTCTCCAACAACGTGTCTCTCCTCAAGGAGGCCAGTCACCGCTGGCTCGGCGTCGCCCTCGTACGTCAAAGCTTCACAATTAACTTATCTTCATCCCACAAGGATAATTTGAATCTTAATGCCGATCGTCCCTTTACCGTGCAAAACCCACGACCGTCTCGTGAATGAGCCGGGAGATGTGTGTGTTGTAGGACAGCCTCGGAGGGACGATGGTGTTCGTGGCGACTTTGTCCTCGTTGACGGCGGCCACGCTCTACCCAGAATCGGTGTCGCCGGCCTGGATTGGCCTGGCCGTCAACTACATGCTTCTCGTGCCGGTCTACCTCACGTGGGTTGTGAAGTACATCGCCGAAGTGGAGATGTGCATGTCCTCTTTGGAGTGGATCTACGCTTGCATGAAGAATGCCCCGCGCGAGGAGGATGGGGAATCGGAATCGGCGGCAGACGAAGGAGATCCAGGTACCGGTACCCCGTTTATGACTTCATCATTCCCATCATCTCCATTCGAGCAAAAGGTAGTGGGAAGTGACGTCGGCGCGCTCAAAAAGTTCCCATCCTGGCAGATTTCCTTTGGCTCTGGATGAGGACAGATCACCGTGGTTCTTCCTCCTGTGGAACGTTCAAGAACGGTCGGTCTCTACAGTTTTTTCCGATACGATGTTACCTGTATTTGCATTTCTTCCATATCTTCTCGCTGCAATCAAGCTTCAAAACGTGTGCATCATGGTGCGTTTGCTGTGTTGCCAGTGTGACTGAAAAATTACTCAAAGTGCGCGAAACTTCTATCTTTCACCAGTTACATTTTTCCAGTAGTCGTGGTCGGCTTTTACAGTTGTAAAAAGTGGCGTTGCCAGTCGCTCGAATGCCTCGACAATAATAACGTCGGCATCAGGATGGTGCAGAAATGGAAGTAAGTCGGACATGGCAGGCACGAAATCGAGTCCACATGGAGAAAGATAGACCACTCGATCTCGGACTTGGTTCACGCAGTACTCCTAGTGCTGGATGAGGACTAGAAAGAAAGGATGATGAAGCGGTTGTACTATATTTTAGTATGGATGTCGCTGGCACTCAGGTTCTGGCATCACCTTGCGTCATATATATCCTGTCTTAATGTTTAACTTCTGTTTTCTTTAATGAGATGTTGTCCGTTCTGATGCCGGAAAGAAAAGCTGTTGACCTCGTGGTGCGCATCTTTTCGAGAGCTGTTCCCGACGCGAAGTACCGACGCGAACGGATAGCCTAAACTTGTCGAGTTGATCGAAAATAGAAGCCCTGAGCCTAGCACGGCTACTTTGTCCCTGAGCAAGGCTGAGGGGGGGGGGAGGGGGGGGGGGGGGGGGGGGGGGAGGGAGGGCGGGGGAGTGGGGGGGGGGGGGGGGGGGGGGGGGGGGGGGGGAGAGAATGGCGTGATGATGGCAACGTTATTAGGGGCTTGGAATTTCGACTCCGCTTTTCCCACTTCTACTCGACTCCTTCCCAGACCTTCGTTGAATCGAAGAGAGATCTCAAGTTGAACTGTTTTCCCGGTTATGATGTCCTGGTATTCCTCTTCTGCTCAGATGCCTCGCAGAGCTCGAGGAGTTCGGTGCAGAAACTGTCAGGTGCCAGGCTTACCCTGGACCGCGTGAACGTCGGCTACGACCCCACCGCTGAGCCGGTTCTCAAGAACATCTCCCTCACCGTGCAACCTTCCACCCGAGTCCGTTTCGCATCTTCATGTCTTTTTTTCGACCTCGTTTCACGTAAAATAGAGATCGTTTCCTTCTCGCCCACATTCGCCGACGAGGCATGTGCTGTTTTATTTAATTTTTAGAAGTCATTTTTCGTATTGTCTCTGGTCGTCGTGTTTCGCTCCTCCCTCGTTCGTTCTCTACGTCCTTTACTCTTTCACCTTTTCTAGTAATTTTTTTTTAAATCGTCATTCTCGTATTATATAAAACTAGTACTTATCGACTTCTCCGCTTTTATATCACCTGGTGATCCCGTGCGATATTTATTGCATCTGACTTTTTAAAATTTAAATTCATTATATCCCACACTTTGACGAGTTACTGGACGACAGATGGGGATCTGCGGCCGAACGGGGAGCGGGAAGTCCACGCTGCTCCTCTCCATCCTGCGCATGGTGGATCACATCGACGGCACGATCCAGATCGACGGGCAGGACACGACGTCCATCCCTCTCAGGGAACTGAGGTCGAGGGTCATCTGCGTCCCCCAGGAGCCGGTCCTCTTCTCCGGCTCCATACGGTCTCTGCCCACTTATATTCTGTCCCTGCTTTCCTCGTTCTTCATTTTAACGCCAAGTTTTGGGATTTTTAGAAGCAATTTGGACGTTCGCGGGGCGTTTCCGGACGATGTGCTGTGGGACGTGCTGAGGGAAGTCGGGATGGACGACGTCGTTCTTGCTCGGGCGAGAGGATTAGGTCAGAACGAGAATTCTGTCTATCCTATTTTTGTAAATCGAGAAAATCGTGCCACACGGTTTTCTCGATCGCTGTCGATGCGATGCAGTCGTGATCTAAATCTTGTTTCGGTTCGGAAAATCACGAAACATGCGGGCTTCGTAACCGATGGGAACTTTGACCGAATCTCGATGATTTGAAGTTTTGCATCGAGGATTTTCGTTACTGCATTCGAATACGGCTCGAGTACGGACTGCACGACTCGCTTCGACGGCATGCGTTCGGCGCTTCGTCTCGAACGTGCGTCTCTCGCGATCGTTCGATGTCGCTAAGTGAAAGATGGAAGGTCGGCACGCAGATGAGGACGTGGTGCAGGAGGGATTGAACCTGAGCGTGGGGCAGTGCCAGGCGCTGTGCCTGGCGAGAGCCCTGCTGCGAGCGCGAGACGAGGCGACGAGACACGGGCGTCCCCTCCTGGTGCTCATCGACGAGGCGAGCAGCGCGATGAACCCGGAAGCGGCCGACAAGCTCACGGCTGCCCTGGACCACGGATTCCTCGGCTCCACCGTCGTCACCGTCGCCGTGAGACTCCCTTGCTGTTTCGATCCTTGGGGGTGACCAAGTCATCGTCGAAATCGCGATGCTCCCACGAAGGGAAACGCAGAGATTCTCTTGCTTACCCACACGGCATTCGTTCGCTTTCTCGTCGGCGTACGTCATCGAGGCGCGTTTTTACTCGCGGGGTTCTCGATTTGATGACCGATGGTCCCCTCCAAGAGAGAGTAATCGTCACCGGAAAAATCCCCGTGATCCCGTCTTGGCTTTTGTGACCTTTTTATCTCCCGCATTAGCATCAAGTGGGGAGCCTGACGAAGCAGGATTGGGTGGTGGTGCTGGACGACGGCAGAATCGTGGAGCAGGGAACTCCCCAGGAGCTCCTCGGGGAAGAAGGTGCCTTCGCCCAGATGTTTCACGCGCCGTCCGATGGCGGCCTCTGAGGCGTCCGATTGCATTTAACACGTACTAACTGAGGATCGAAAGGATGTCTGCAGTACAAGCGCGGCGACCGATGGTGCTCTTAACTCTGGCTTTTCCTAAACGTCTTTCGTATACCATGTCTTTCATTTTTCACGGCTTTTCGTTTCGCGAACTGATTCAACTGATGATTTTTGATGCTTGGATAAAGAAAAACGGTGGCATTCGATAAAAATTTTCTCACCTGGGAGGCTGGGCTTCTTCAATCTCTTTTCCCTCTCATTCCACTCGAGGCCAAAGGCGTATTTTGTAGGGGAGCTGAAGGGTTCCCCCTCGGCAACCCCTAGCCCTACAACTGCTATTGACACGTTAACGCGTCAGCGAAAGTATTGTCCTCACTGCTATCAACGCGCATTTTGAATTCCCTCTCGTTGCTGCCGTCGCATGTACGTGATCGATATGAGACTAGATATTAATTCTACTATCGTCTATTGGGATTTTATGGTACTAGTACTGCTTGCAGAACACCGTAAACCACCTGTACAAAACTCAGCAGTTAAAGGGTTAAAAGTGCCTAGCGCCCTATCGGAGGGATTTTCATATTTGCCCCTGAGAACCTTCGCTCTGCATCATTTCTGCTACCTTGCCCTTCTCGGCTCATGAACCAAAATACAGTAGACTGTTGCAAAGTGGCGATCGATCATGCCCGGTCGCCACTTTCTTCTTCTTTCTATTAGTTTCTTGATGAAAGGCAGGAGCAGCGTGCCGCGTTCTTCGCTCGTCTCGAATCGATTTGATAGCTTCTCTTCTGATGTTCCATCGATTCCCTGTTATTTCCATGCATCTATGAAAAGACCGCTGTTGTTCGCAGATTCATTCCGATAGAAGTCGAGGTGTTTCATATGCTTGTCTCGTGAGAGGTTGTAAACACCGTGACTGAAAATTTTATGACTTTTCTAGTGCCATCTATGCCAATGCATTCAATGCCTATAGTCGAGGCCAAGGCTAAGAGAACATTTTCTCGACCGATATTTTAACGAGAACTTGGGTTAACACGGGAAGTGTGAAGATTGGAACTGTGGAAGGAAGCGAGGATTCTTTGTTTTCGTTAAGTAAAGACGGACCATCTACTTCCACTCGGACGGAGAAAGGTACCTCCATGAATCGCGGGGATCCCTTTTTCCGAGTGTCTTTTCCCTCGTCTCAAGCAGGGAGGGGCGTCTGAAGAAAGCAGAACGGCTTTGCTTTGCCTCCATTCGGTCTCATAAAGATATTTCTGCCTCGAAGACATCGAGGTATGCGACCCCTTCGTCTTTCACCTCTCACGTTCGATTTTCTGTCCTTGAAAGAACGGGATACGAACAGGAACGAGTCGATCGCCCGTCGAATCTACGCCGTCGCAGAAGTCCGGATTCCCTCGACGGTCGCGGATGATCCATCGGCCAGATCGAAGACCCCAAAGACGTCGCAAAGAGGTTCAGAGATATCGATTTCGGGCTCGATCTGCCCGGTGCGCGTGTCACGATGACGTCACGCCCATACCGTCATGGCACAGAAAACTCCGTTGACCAGGTGACGACTTTTAATAATTAAATGCGACTAAGAATATATACAGGGTGTTGCAAAAAAGTTAACGCTGCAAGAATTGATTTTTCTTGAATAATATAACATTTGAATAGAAGTTTTTGTGATAGTACGAATGAGTAGAGATTAAGCTTTCCGTTGCTGAGGATTGCATGAAAGTCCAGATCGCGTCTCGTCCTGACTTCATGCGACCTAACATCACCCCTAAATTCAGCTGACTTCAATCCGGGTGAATGGGGAAGAATGCGTGAATATATGTATAAAGACGCCATTCGTGACAAAAACACCCGATCCAGCTTGTTGAAGACTCTTGGATGAAGTGGAAATGAACCCAGCACTTGATTCGTTAGGAGGATGAGATGAGTATGCTTCGACTGAGGAGAAGGCCACTGAAAATTTCCTCAATTATGGGAGATTTGACTCAAATTAAATAAAACCTTCCTGACAAGTAATTTTGCTGTACGTGCTCACCCCTGTAATACAATTTTATTTTACCCAATGGTATTGGATGTTTTGCTGTTGGCTTTGAGATCCGGGGGTTTTTTTTTCGATTGCCCTGTTGATATGAGGTGCTCCTTTTTTTACTTTTTATATCGATGTATAGTTTTCCCAGCGATGAACAAATATTAAATGCGAAAAATAGATGTAGGTTTATTTTGAAAATCACTAGTCATTCGTGTAAATGAGTGACATTCTGGAGAATAATAGAATAATAATCATCGCGCGTCCTCGATTTTTGTCGTGATCCAATCGAGAAACCTGCAGTGAAAGAATGGAGAAGACTCACGTTTCGCATGATCGTCATGAAAGATGGGAAGAAATGGCATGCACGAAGGGGAAGAAAATGAAGAGACGAAGGATTGTGATCTCACCGATCGACTCTGGTGAAAATGCCATATTGGCCCGGGCGCCTCTTCGAACAAGGCTCATTGTTGAAGTGACACGACTCCTTCTCCCTCCTTCGAGGCGTGGGTATAGAACACCGTGGGGCTGCCCGAGTCCCCGGGGCACACCGTTTGGAAAGCTATATACCAAATTCAATCGATTTCATCAGTGTGGACATCGTGAATTATTTATTATATATCTCTGGCAGAAACGAATTTTTGCGATTCTCATTCATAAACGTAACAGGAATCCTCTACATCGATATGACCCAGTCAGCACAACAGTGTCGCCTCAGTTTTTCAAAAGTATCCTCTGTGCATGCGGTACGTGCAAAAATTTATGGATGAATCTTTCACTTGATGTAGTGATGATGTATTCAATGCTCTAGAAAGTTTTAATGAATAGAGTGTCGTATAAATGCCAGGCCTCACCTTACCAAAGTAATATTAAACACAGTAACAATCATAATACAAATAATAGCTAACGATACGCATAACAATATTATGAATGATTCAGTAATTAATGCCGTGGACATGACGTTAAACTGCTTCCAACGGTGTTGAACCTTTCTTTGATACGGCTGATGAGATTTCTAGTTCAAAGGGCAAATGCGTCATAGATGGTAGGCCTGTCCACGCCAACTGGTCCTAGAATTTTAGCCGGAAATTTTCCTAAATAGGCAAATTTCACTTTAGCTACAGAAGTTCATCATCTCTTTTCCTAGAAGACATGAGTGAAAGAGAATATTACATTGAAAAATAAAAGAATTAGACAAGATTATGATATACATTATTCATACGACTCATGATACTCAAAAATGTGATGAAAATGCACATCTGGAGAGACTGAATTAAACTACTGGAAGAGATGCCAGCATGGGCTTTCCATCCATTCTGATAATTTCAAATCAGCTCAGGTGTGAAGAGTAGATGTCAATTGTTCACATTTGAATGATATATAATTAAAAAATAAAATACATATATATGTACGGACTCCTCGTTTCAAAATACATTTTCAGAACATGTCACATCCGACACTTTCCTGTCACATCCGACACCATCACAAAATAGGCTTATTTTCTATTTCAACTGTTCTCATCTTGGGGTGACTTACACTAATTCCAGGCGTTCATTCCATCTATAGAATGGACATGAAGCTAAATTATTAGGATCCGCTCGATGACAGATATGTGAACATATCTGCTTTCTATCGCTGCTTTCTGGACGTGGTCGGATCGAACGCATCCGAAAATACGAGAAAAAGCCTAAAAAATATATCCGATAATATCCACAAAATGCATTACACCCGTGAGGAAAATACACATTTAAAAATAAAACTGAGCGGTGGAGGCAAGGAGAGGGGAAGGCGTTCGGCCACACAGATCCCGAACCTCGAGGCTGACTGGCCCTTCTTGGCTCCCATCTCACAAGTTCCCTATGACTCTGTTTCGTTCCCCTTCGTATTAGAGCCGGCACGAATTCAAGCAGAAAGAAAGCCACGTGTAGCTCTGCCTCGAATAGGACTCAGGATTCCGGCCCATTTTCTTATTTCCAGTCGGGACTATCGCACCGCTCAGCTTTTTTAAAAATGTTTTCTAGTACCCATTTCTAGTACCCTTTATTCTAGTAGCGATGCATTTGTACGTGGCTTCTTGCCGTGTGTAATTGCATCACCGGGTACGAATTCCGACTCTTCTGGGTTCTCGTTTCAGATTTGAACTCGACACGAATGGACGGAGCCAGGAGCCAAGACGACAGGATTATGCGTCGAGTCGAATTGCCAGTTTGTGACGAGGAGTTCACAGTGGATATGGCAAAGATGCAAGGAATGAAAAATACACGTTGAACTCACCGCAGATCGACAAAAAGGGAATGGAATGAAAGACGGTCGGTGGAGGGAAGGGCGCGAGCCAGAACATCCTCTCACATCCTCCTCTTGCCCCCGTCGGTCCAAGGGTTTGGTTCATCTGAATCAGGCGTGAGAGGAGGATAGAAACTGTGTTTAGCTTCGTCCCGTTTCTCTTGGGGGTAATGCAGTCCCTTGGTTTTTTATGCGAGAATGGGCCATCTCTAAGAGAGGATTCGGACGGACGAGAGGAAAGGGGATTAACTCTCGACAGATGCGACGATCGGAGGAAGTCTATGCCAATAACCGAAGCGAACGTTGCCTAGCGATTTCGAATTTCGTATTCATCGAGGATCGTTCACCGTTCCTTCTAACGGATATCAGAGGGATCGAGAGTTCATCGTCCCCATGAGCGGATGGGCATGGATTCGAAACAAATGTCGGAGGGCGAGGGCTGCCTTCTCGAGATGTTGCTGCCTGAGAGGCGAGGACGAGCGGGAGGACGCAGGGAACATCGAAGACCTCGTCGGTGGGTCGATTCCCGTCGTTCCTTCGTCGGCATCACATTCTTGCGTGAAGTCAGAGAAAGAAAAACAAATTCTCGGAGAATAGGGCTTCAGTCGTTGTCTGCATGTGAGAAGTGCTGGATTCTCACATTCCTGTCTTCCATTCTCGTCTCTCGTTCCTCTTCCCTCCTTGCGGCTTCTTTCGATTCGGTTTAGTACAGGATTCAAATCGAACGAAATTTCAGCATATTGTAACGATCAGAGTCGAAAATAGTTGTTAACTTTTGATCATTTCGGGTAGTCCCGGGTTTCGGCTAGCTAGGTGGGTCCACGGGTTCATGTGTTTCCATTTGCAACGAGATGATCCCTATCCTTCCCCTAGTCGAGGTCGCCGACATCACACCTACCGCCCGCCGTTTGGAAGAG